GACACGACACACGTGGGGGGGGACACGACGCACGTGGTGGGGGGGACACGACGCACGTGGTGGGGGGGACACGACACACGTGGTGGGGGGGGACACGACGCACGTGGTGGGGGGGGACACGACACACGTGGTGGGGGGACACGACACACGTGGTGGGGGGGACACGACGCACTGGTGGGGGGGACACGACACACGTGGTGGGGGGACACGACGCACTGTGGGGGGGGACACGACACACGTGGGGGGGGGGACACGACGCACGTGGTGGGGGGGACACGACACACGTGGTGGGGGGGACACGACACACGTGGTGGGGGGGACACGACGCACGTGGTGGGGGGGACACGACGCACGTGGTGGGGGGGACACGACACACGTGGTGGGGGGGACACGACGCACGTGGTGGGGGGGGACACGACGCACGTGGTGGGGGGGACACGACGCACGTGGGGGGGGGACACGACACACGTGTGGGGGGGGACACGACACACGTGGTGGGGGGACACGCACGTGGTGGGGGGGACACGACCACGTGGTGGGGGGGGACACGACACACGTGGTGGGGGGACACGACACACGTGGTGGGGAGGGACACACACGTGGTGGGGGGACACGACGCACGTGGTGGGGGGGACACGACGCACGTGGTGGGGGGGGACACGACGCACGTGGTGGGGGGGGACACGACACACGTGGTGGGGGGGACACGACACACGTGGTGGGGGGGACACGACGCACGTGGTGGGGGGGACACGACGCACGTGGTGGGGGGGGACACGACGCACGTGGTGGGGGGGACACGACGCACGTGGTGGGGGGGACACGACGCACGTGGTGGGGGGGACACGACGCACGTGGTGGGGGGGGACACGACGCACGTGGTGGGGGGGGACACGACACACGTGGTGGGGGGACACGACGCACTGGTGGGGGGGACACGACACCTGGCGGGGGGGGACACGACGCACGTGGTGGGGGGGGACACGACACACGTGGTGGGGGGGACACGACGCACGTGGTGGGGGGGGACACGACGCACGTGGTGGGGGGGACACGACGCACGTGGTGGGGGGGGACACGCAGACGTACGTGGGATGGGTAGACACGCGTCCGTTTGCCATCCTGCGATTCTTCACAGATCTCACCCCGTGTGTCTCTCCGTGTGTCTCCCCGTGTATCGTGTCTCTCCGTGTCTCCCCGTGTCCCCCACCGTGTGTCTCCGTGTGTCTCCCCGTGTGTCTCCCCGTGTCTCACCGTGTCTCACCGTGTCTCTCCCGTGTCTCCCCGTGTCCCCCGTGTCTCACCGTGTCTCCCCGTGCCCCCCGTGCTCCCCGTTCTCCCCGTTCTCATCGTCTCTCACCGTGTCTCCCCGTGTCTCCCCGTGTCTCCCCGTGTCTCCCCGTGTCTCCCCGTGTCTCACCGTGTCTCCCCGTGTCTCCCCGTGTCTCCCCCTGTCTCCCCGTGTCTCACCGTGTCTCCCCGTGTCTTTTCGTGTGTCTCCGTGTCTCCCCGTGTGTCTCCCCCTGTGCCCCTCGTGTCTCCCCGTGTCTCCCCGTGTCTCACCGTCTCTCACCGTGTCTCCCCGTGTCTCCCCGTGTCTCACCGTGTCTCACCGTGTCTCACCGTGTTCCCCGTGTCTCTTCGTGTGTCTCCGTGTCTCCCCGTGTGTCTCCCCGTGTCCCCCGTGGCTCCCCGTGTCTCCCCGTGTCTCCCCGTATCTCACCGTCTCTCACATGTGTCTCACCCGTGTCCCCCGTGTCTCCCTGTGTTTCACCGTCTCTCCACCGTGTCTCCCACGTGGTCTCCCCGTGTCTCCCCGTGTGTCCCCGTGTGTCTCCCGTGTTGTCTCCCCCGTGTGTCTCCCGTGTGGCTCCCCGTGTGCCCCTCGTGTCTCCCCGTTCTCCCCGTGTCTCCCCGTGTCTCCCCGTGTCTCCCCGTGTCTCACCGTCTCTCACCGTGTCTCCCCGTGTCTCCCGTGTCTCCCCGTGTCTCCCCGTGTCTCACCGTCTCTCACCGTGTCTCCCCGTGTCTCCCCGTGTCTCCCCGTGTGTCTCCCCATGTGCCCCTCGTGTCTCCCCGTGTCTCCCCGTGTCTCACCGTCTCTCACCGTGTCTCCCCGTGTCTCCCCGTGTCTCACCGTGTCTCACCGTGTCTCCCCGTGTCTCTTCGTGTGTCTCCGTGTCTCCCCGTGTGTCTCCCCGTGTGTCTCCCCGTGTGCCCCCCGTGTCTCCCCGTGTCTCCCCGTGTCTCCCCGTGTCTCCTCGTGTGTCTCCGTGTGTCTCTCCCCGTGTGTCTCCCCGTGTCTCTCCGTGTGTCCCCGTGTGTCCCTCCATGTCTCCCCGTGTGTCCCCGTGTGTCTCCCCGTGTCTCCCCGTGTGTCTCCCCGTGTGCCCCTCGTGTCTCCCCGTGTCTCCCCGTGTCTCCCCGTGTCTCCCCGTGTCTCACCGTCTCTCACCGTGTCTCCCCGTGTCTCCCCGTGTCTCACCGTGTCTCACCGTGTCTCACCGTGTCTCACCGTGTCTCACCGTGTCTCCCGTGTCTCTTCGTGTGTCTCCGTGTCTCCCCGTGTCCCCCCGTGTCTCACCGTATCTCCCCGTGCCCCCCGTGCTCCCCGTGTCTCCCCGTGTCTCCCCGTGTCTCACCGTCTCTCACCGTGTCTCCCCGTGTCTCCCCGTGTCTCCCCGTGTCTCACCGTGTCTCACCGTCTCCCCGTGTCTCCCCGTGTGTCTCCGTGTGTCTCTCCCCGTGTGTCTCCCCGTGTCTCTCCGTGTGTCCCCCCATGTCTCCCCGTGTGTCCCCGTGTGTTTCCCCGTGTCTCCCCGTGTGTCTCCCCGTGTGCCCCTCGTGTCTCCCCGTGTCTCCCCGTGTCTCCCCGTGTCTCCCCGTGTCTCACCGTCTCTCCCCGTGTCTCCCCGTGTCTCCCCGTGTCTCCCCGTGTCTCACCGTCTCTCACCGTGTCTCCCCGTGTCTCCCCCGTGTCTCTTCGGTGTGTCTCCGTGTCTCCCCGTGTGTCTCCCCGTGTGCCCCTCGTGTCTCCCCGTGTCTCCCCGTGTCTCCCCCGTGTCTCCCCCCGTGTCTCACCGTCTCTCACCGTGTCTCACTCTCTCCCCCGTGTCTCCCCGTGTCTCACCGTGTCTCACCGTGGTCTCCCCCCGTGTCTCTTCGTGTGTCTCCGTGTCTCCCCGTGTGTCTCCCCGTGTGCCCCCCAGTGTCTCCCCGTGTCTCCCCGTGTCTCCCCGTGTCTCCCCGTGTCTCCCCGTGTGTCTCCGTGTGTCTCTTCTCCCCCGTGTGTCTCCCGTGTCTCTCCGTGTGTCCCCGGTGTGTCCCCCCATGTCTCCCCGTGTGTCCCCCCGTGTCTCCCCGTGTGTCTCCGTGGTCTCCCCGTATCTCTCCCCGTGTGTCTCCGTGTCTCCCCGTGTCTCCCCGTGTCTCCCCGTGTCTCCCCGTGTGTCTTCATGTGTCTCTCCCCGTGTGTCTCCCCGTGTGTCTCCCCGTGTCTCTCCGTGTGTCTCCGTGTCTCCCCGTGTCTCCCCGTGTCTCCCCGTGTGTCTCCCCGTGTGTCCCCGTGTGTCTCCCCGTGTGTCCCCAGGTGTCTCCGGGAGACACGGGCTGGGACGTGTTCAGCCTCGATTATCACGTGGACGGCCCCATCGCCACGGTAACGCTCGAACGCACAGCCTGGTCCATTCTCCCCCCCCCCCCAGCGTGACTCAGCTGACAAATCCGGCAGAGCTGCGTGGACAGGCTGCTGTGTGTATGACGAATCGATCCTCTCACTGCTGCCACTGTCGTTAGGGCTGATCCTATAACTCTCGCTGGGACTGCTCTATCTGGCAAAGGTGCTGCTGTTCTGCTGACAGTATAGGTGCTGCTGCTGTGTCTGACAAGCTGCTGCTGCTGTTATAGCTGATCCATTAACTGCTTCTGCAGCTGCTGCAATGGCTTGATCGTGTAGCTGGCTGCTGCTGCTGCTATGGCTGATCCATTAACTGTTTCTGCAGATGCTGCAATGGCGTGATCGTGTAGCTGATGCTGCTGCTTGCTATAGCTGATCCATTAACTGCTTCTGAAACTGCTGCAATGGCTTGATCGTGTAGCTGCTGCTGCTGCTACTATGGCTGATCCATTCACTGCTTCTCCAGCTGCTGCAATGACTTGATTGTGTAGCTGCTGCTGCTGCTATGGCTGATCCATTCACTGCTTCTCCAGCTGCTGCAATGACTTGATTGTGTAGCTGCTGCTGCTGCTATAGCTGATCCATTAACTGTTTCTTGCAGATGCTGCAATGGCTCGATCGTGTAGCTGATGCTGCTGCTGCTATGGCTGATCCATTAACTGCTTCTGCAGCTGCTGCAATGGCTTGATCGTGTAGCTGCTGCTTGCCGCTATGGCTGATCCATTAACTGCTTCTGCAACTGCTGCAATGGTTTGATCGGTATCTGCTGCTGCTGCTATAGCTGATCCATTAACTGCTTCTGCAGCTGCTGCAATGGTTTGATCGAGTAGCTGCTGCTGCTGCTATGGCTGATCCATTAACTGCTTCTGCAGCTGCTGCAATGGTTTGATCGTGTAGCTGCTGCTGCCGCTATGGCTGATCCATTAACTGCTTCTGCAACTGCTGCAATTACTTGATTGTGTAGCTGCTGCTGCTGCTATTGCTGCTGTGCCGGGTACGGGTACGGGTACCCGTTTGCGACCCTGGTGCGGTCGGGTACGGGTAGGCCGTGAGTCACTGGTGAGTCACCGTTTGTCACTCATTTCCCAACGTCTTGTCTCTTCTCACAATTCAAGTTCCTAGAATCAACCCACCCGCGCCTGCAACATGGCTTCATCCCAGAGGTCGCAATCAGGTACCCGATACCCGTACCCTACATGATACCCGGCCGGGTACGGGTAGGGTACGGGTACCCGTTTGCGACCCTGGTGCGGCCGGATACGGGTACGAGTAAGGGAATCAAAACCCGTTTGCGACCTCTGATTAGCGCCATGAGCGCGCTATCCGAAGGTCACGTGAGCCTGTGTGTCGGGGCTTGACCGGTTGGTGATGGCTGGCGGGCGGGCGGGGGGGTCCCTCGTTTCGTGCGCAGGTGTTCACGCAGGAGTGCATGATGCAGTACCTGCGCGTGTTTAACTTCCTGTGGAGAGCCAAGCGCATGGAGTAACTCGCTCACCGACATCTGGAAGGCGCAGATGTGTCACAGCAAGCTTCTGCGCAGCATGCCTGGTGAGCGGCGATGGTGGGGGCGGGGTGGGGGGGCACGGGCCGAGGGGTGAAGGGGGGGAGACCAGAGGTCGCAACCGGGTACCCGATACCCGTACCCTACCCGATACCCGGCTACCCGTACCCGGTCAGGTACGGATGGAGCATTGTCTTTGAGTTGTGCGCCTTTTGGCGTCATCTGGTCCAACACCATGTGAGACTAGGCTCTAAGGAAAGCTGTCTCGGGTGTGGACCAATCAACTTCAAGGACAGTGCAGACATTATCAGAGTTATGTTTGTTGTTTGCATTATGGCTGCAGGTATTGTGGTCAATGCAAACATGACTCCTTGTAAAAAGGTGTCAGGTTTGTTGCCAGGTAAAAGGGTAAAAAAACTTTTATCGTCTTCCCAATGTCGTATCGACTGCAAACTTGGTATAGGTCCGTCATACTGATGACAACACGATATTCTATCATTGAAAATTAAAAAAAAATATTTTTAAACAATCTTTTTTACGGCTCCAATTGTCCACGCTCTCAACTCACGTTGCCCTGCCAATCACCACGTGGTCCCTGACGTCACGGCAAGCCTCGGAGCCACGCCCAGGGGCGGGGCATGTGGAAGGAGGGGAGGGGCGATGGGGGAAGGGGGCAGGGGGAGGGGCAGCTCGGACAGTACATTTCATTAAAGCGTGTTTTTTAAATATTTTTTGTATAATAGTAACTCAATTTTAACCCACTTCCCAATGTGGTATCGACTGCAAACTTGGTATACTTGTGTCGTACTGATGACAATACCATATTCTATCATAAAAATTCGAAATATATATTTTTAAACATTATTTTTTACACGTTATGTTTCGGCTTGGGTATAATTGTCCACGCTCAACTGACGTTGGCTGTACATCACCACGGCCCCTTACGTTGTGGCAAGCTACGGGGTCACTTCCTGGAGTCGTGGAGTTCTGCCATTACTAGTACATTCCATGAAAGCGTGTTTTTAATAAAGTTTTTAAAAATATGACTTATCTCCCCTCTCCTCCCCTCCTCTACCCTCCCCCTCCCCTACCCTCTCCACCCCACCTCACCCCTCTCCTCCCCCCCCTCTCCACCCCACCCCTCCTCTACCCTCCCCTACCCTATCCACCCCACCCCTCCCCTCTCCTCCCCTCCTCTCCCCTCTCCACCTCACCCCTCTCCTACCCTCCCCTCTCCACCTCACCCCTCTCCACCCCACCTCACCCCTCCCCTACCATCCGCTAACCCTCCCCTCCCCTACCCTTTCCTCCCCTACCCGCTCCACCTCACCCCTCTCCTCCCCTCCCCTCCCCTCCCCTACCCTCTCCACCCCACCCCTCCCCTCTCACCATCTCCCTCCCCTCCCCTCGCCACCCCTCCCCTACCCTTTCACCATCTCCCTCCCCTCCCCTCCCCTCCCCTACCCTCTCACCATCTCCCTCCCCTCTCACCATCTCCTCCCCTCCCCTCCCCCCTCCCCTCCCCTACCCTCTCACCATCTCCCTACCCTCCCCTCCCCTCTCCACCCCTCCCCTACCCTCTCACCATCTCCCTCCCCTCCCTCCCCTCCCCTACCCTCTCACCATCTCCCTCCCCTCTCACCATCTCCCTCCCCTCCCCTCCCCTCCCCTACCCTCTCACCATCTCCCTCCCCTCCCCTCTCACCATCTCCCTCCCCTCCTCACCATCTCCCTACCCTCTCCTCCCCTCTCCTCCCCTCCCCTCTCACCGTCTCCCTCCCCTCCCCTACCCTCTCCACCTCACCCCTCCCCTCTCACCATCTCCCTCCCCTCCCCTACCCTCTCCTCCCCACCCCTCTCACCATCTCCCTCCCCACCCCTACCCTCTCCACCTCACCCCTCTCCTCCCCTCCCCTCCCCTCTCTACCCCACCCCACCCCTCCCCCCCCCCTCTCCACCCCTCCCCTCTCACCGTCTCCCCTCGTGCCTCTGGCCAGAGCTGTCGGGCGTCCTGCAGCAGAGCTACGTGCTGGCGTCCGAGATGATGCACTTCATCCACCAGATGCAGTACTACATCACCTTCGAGGTGAGTGAGCGCGTGGGGGGGTCAGTGTGTGACTGTGTGTGTGGGCGAGTGTGTGACTGTGTGTGTGGGGGGGTCAGTGTGTGACTGTGTGTGTGGGGGGGTCAGTGTGTGACTGTGTGTGTGGGCGAGTGTGTGACTGTGTGTGTGGGGGGGTCAGTGTGTGACTGTGTGTGTGGGGGGGTCAGTGTGTGACTGTGTGTGTGGGGGGGTCAGTGTGTGACTGTGTGCTACAGATGCAGTACTACATCACCTTCGAGGTGAGTGAGCGCGTGGGGGGGTCAGTGTGTGACTGTGTGTGTGGGTGAGTGTTGGTGTGACTGTGTGTGTGGGGGGGGGTCAGTGTGTGACTGTGTGTGTGTGGGTGAGTGTGGGTGAGTGTGTGAGTGTGTGCTACAGATGCAGTACTACATCACCTTCGCGGTGAGTGATCGCGTGGGTCAGTGTGTGACTGTGTGTGCTACAGATGCAGTACTACATCACCTTCGAGGTGAGTGAGCGCGTGGGGGGTCAGTGTGTGACGTGTGTGTGAGTGACGCGTGGTGTGTGACGTGTGTGTGTGTGACGCGTCACAAGTGCGTGTGTGAGTGTCGCGTGGTGTGCATGTGTGACGCGTGGCATGTGTCTGTGTGTGTGTGACACGCGTCACGAGTGCGTGTCCCGTCTCTCTCGGCCCGCCAGGTGCTGGAGTGCTCGTGGGACCGCCTGCTCACCCAGGTACGAGCGGCACCTGACCTGGACCATGTGATCGCGGCCCACCAGGAGTTCCTCTCCTCCTGCGTCTCTCGCTGTCTCCTCGACGCAGACTCACGGGTACCACGCTGACTCACGGGGGGGGCGGTGTGTGGGGGGGGGGGCGGGGGGGGGGGTGTGTGGCAGAGGTCGCAAACGGGTATCGGGTACCCGATTGCGACCTCTGGGATGAAGCCATGTTGCAGGCGCGGGTGGGTTGATTCTAGGAACTTGAATTGTGAGAAGAGACAAGACGTTGGGAAAATGAGTGACAAACGGTGACTCACCAGTGACTCACGGGTACCACGCTGACTCACGGGGGGGGGGGGCGGTGTGTGGGGGGGGCGGTGTGTGGGGGGGGGGGGCGGTGTGTGGTGGGGGGGGCGGTGTGTGGGGGGGGGGTGTGTGTGGGGGGGGCGGTGTGTGTGGGGGGGGCGGGGGGGGGGGCGGTGTGTGGTGGGGGGGGGCGGTGTGTGTGGGGGTGGGTGACTCCATGCGCCCGTGTCCACGGCCGTCTGAGGTCGCAACCGGGTACCCGATGCGTCAGGGTCGGTATCGAACCCACGACCCCCTGTGTACCAGGCAAGGTAGTCAACATCTCCTAGCCAACGTGGCACCCTCGGTAGTGTAGCGGTTAGCGCGCTGCGCTATGAACCCGGCGACCCGGGTTCGATTCCCGCTCACGGCCAACACCAGTGACGATTATCTGAACCGGTCCGGGGCCTCCCCTAGGTCGACTCAGCCTGAAATGAGTACCTGGTGCGGTGTGTAAACATTGTCACTAGGGAGACAAAGGCGGTCGGTCGTGGTGCTGGCCACCCACCCCCTCGTGTGCCGTTCCGGCCTTCATAGGTGCTCGCTAACAGCACTTGCCCCTACAGTCTGTTAAGGCTATACGGGGGATCTTTGTCTTTATCTTTGTGCGTGTGTGTGTGTGCGTGCGTGGCGCGTGCAGCTGATGCTGGCCCAGCTCAGGGCGATCTTCGACCAGATTGTGCAGTTCCAGGCGGCGCAGGAGGGCATGCAGCGCACCGCCCTGCAGGAGCTGCAGCTGCGCCTGCAGCACCAGGAGGAGGTCGCGGGGCGCCAGCGCTCGGTAACCAAGACAACAGGGCCACAGGCTCCGGTGTGGGGGATAGCCTCCGCGGAAAGTCGGGGCCTGCGTGCGTGTGTGCGTGCGTGCCTGCGTGTGTGTGTGTGCATGCGTTCCTGCGTGCGTGTGTATATGTGCGTGCCTGTGTGCGTGTGTATGTATGTATGTATGCCTGTGCCTGTGCGTGTGCGTGTGTATGTGTGTATGTATGCCTGTGCCTGTGCGTGTGCGTGTGTATGTATGTATGTGTGCGTGCGTGCGTGCGTGTGCATGTATGTATGTGTGTATGTATGCCTGTGCGTGTGCGTGTGTGTGTATGTATGTATGCGTGCGTGCGTGCGTGTGTGTGTATGTATGTGTGCGTGCGTGTGTGCGTGTGCATGTATGTATGTGTGTATGTATGCCTGTGCGTGTGCGTGTGTGTGTATGTATGTGTGTGTACGTGCGTGTGTGTGTATGTATGCGTGCGTGCGTGCGTGTGTGTGTATGTATGTGTGTGTGCGTGCGTGTGTGTGTATGTATGCGTGCGTGCGTGCGTGCGTGTGTGTGTATGTATGTATGTGTGCGTGCGTGTGTGTGTGTGCGTGAGCAGGGCGAGTGGGGCACCACGGAGGCGCGAGAGCGTCACGAGGAGCTGAGAATCTCCGAGTTCCGTTCCCATTTTGTGTCCAAGACTCGCTCGCAACTCCGTGTGCTCACGCAGTCCTACCAGGTGCAGCCTCCTCCTCCTCCTGCTGCTGCAAACGGGTTTTGATTCCTTACCCGTACCCATACCCGGCCGTACCCGGCCGTACGGGTATCGGGTACCTGATTGCGACCTCTGGGATGAAGCCACGTTGCAGGCGCGGCTGGGTTGATTCTAGGAACTTGAATTGTGAGAAGAGACAAGACGTTGGGAAATGAGTGACAAACGGTGACTCACGGCCTACCCGTACCCGTATCCGGCCGGGTGGGGATGGGCTGGGTGGGGAGGGGCTGGGTGGGTAGGGTGGGGAGGGGCTGGGTGGGGAGGGGCTGGGTGGGGAAGATGGGGAGGGGCTGGGTGGGTAGGGTGGGGAGGGGCTGGGTGGGGAGGGGCTGGGTGGGGAAGATGGGGAGGGGCTGGGTGGGGAGGGTGGGGAGAGGCTAGGTGGGGCTAGGTGGGGAGTGTGGGACTGGGTGGGAGGGGTGGGGCTGGGTGGTGAGGGGCTGGTCACCCCGTGGTGCCCTTATAAAACTCAACGTTTAACCGACTCACGCCGGCTTGTGCCCGCCCTCACAGTCTCCGCCCGTGTCCCCGTGTCTGCGAGCAGGACATCGTGCAGCAGTTCCTGGTGATGTTGACGCGCAGCGCCGACGAGAGTCTCCGCTTCCTCTCGTTCCGCCTCGACTTCAACGAGCACTACCGGGCGCGCAACCCTCACCTGCGCCTCTCCCTGGGCAGCGCACGCAGCCAGCGCCGGGCGCCACCGCACTGAGAGAGACGGGGAGAGAGACGGGGGGAGACGGGGAGAGGGGGAGAGAGAGAGGGAGAGAGACGGGGAGAGAGAGGGAGAGAGAGACAGAGACAGACACAGAGAGAGACACAGAGAGAGACAGAGAGAGACAGAGAGAGAGACAGAGAGAGACAAAGACGCAGAGAGAGACAGAGACACAGAGAGAGACAGAGACACAGAGAGAGATACAGAGAGAGACAGAGACACAGAGAGAGACAGAGACACAGAGAGAGACAGAGACACAGAGAGAGACAGAGACACAGAGAGAGACAGAGACACAGAGAGAGACACAGAGAGAGACACAGAGAGCGACAGAGAGACACACACAGAGAGACACACAGAGAGACACACAGAGAGACACAGAGAGAGACACAGAGAGACACGGAGAGAGACACGGAGAGAGACACAGAGAGAGACACAGAGAGAGAGCACCAGCCCCGGCGCGACCCGTCGCCCTGTCAAAACACAACCTCGGCTGACGTCCCGAGATTTGCGCTCGAAAGGTCAACAGGTCGCGTGTAACAACCGCGGTGCCTTGCCGGTCTCTTCAAGGGGCACGAACCACCGTCAATGCGCGCTACGTCAAGAGATCGGGGCGCCGTGCGTGGCTAGGAGATGTTGACTCCCTCGCCTGGTCTACAGGAGGTCGTGGGTTCCATCCCGACCCTGACGACGCCTGCTGCTGCTGCTGTATATTTGGAATCTGCGTCTCTCTCTCTCAACATCATCGCAGTTGCGAGATGTTAACTCCCTCGCCTGGTGCGCAGGAGGTCCTGGGTTCGATCCCGTCTCTGAGGCCTGCTGTTTATTTATAGTTTGAATCTCTTATCGTCATCACGGTGGCTAGGAGATGTTAACTCCCTCGCCTGGTGCGCAGGAGGTCCTGGGTTCGATCCCGACCCTGAGGCCTGCTGCTGTATATTTGGAGTTTGCGTTTCTCTTCTCACCGTGGCCGTGTGGATTTTTCTCCGGGAACCTGCGGTTGCTCCCCCTCCCCCCACGCTTAGAATCAACGTCGCTAGAAATGTCCACGCCACTCGGCCGATTGATCGTTTGTAATGAGCGGGTCGCTTCTGGAAGAAGAAAAAACAAGAGCCGGTGGACCCACGGCGCAAGAGACGACTGTCGCACGCGCATACCGACACGCGTCAGAGGTCGCAACCGGGTACCCGATACCCGTACCCTACCCGATACCCGGCTACCCGTACCCGGCCGGGTATCGGGTATCGGGTACCCGATTGCGACCTCTGGGATGAAGCCATTTTGCAGACGCGGGTGGGTTGATTCTAGGAACTTGAATTGTGAGAAGAGACAAGACGTTGGGAAATGAGTGACAAACGGTGACTCACCAGTGACTCACGGCCTACCCGGCTACCCGTACCGGGTACCCGTTTGCGACCCTGGTGCGGCCGGGTACGGGTACGGGTAAGGAATCAAAACCCGTTTGCGACCTCTGACCCGCGTCGACCGCACGGGCACCGCGTGTGGGTCTCCTTGCAGCGCCCCGCTAAGGTCGGCACGACGCACCGGGGGGGGGGGGGGGGGGGGCCGGCAAGACCGGCGTGTTGGTGATGGTCGTCGTCGTGAGCGAGGGGGAGGGTCGAACTCGCGAGGGAAGGGTTCGTGGCGCGGCGTGCTGACACACGCCGCACACATACACCGTACACATACACCGTACACATACACCGTACACATACACCGTACACATACACCGTACACACATACACCGTACACATACACCGTACACATACACACCGTACACACACACCGTACACATACACCGTACACATACACCGTACACATACACCGTACACACATACACCGTACACATACACCGTACACATACACACCGTACACACACACCGTACACATACACCGTACACATACACCGTACACATACACCGCACACATACACCGTACACATACACCGTACACACATACACCGTACACATACACCGTACACATACACACCGTACACACACACCGTACACATACACCGTACACATACACCGTACACACACACCGTACACACATACACCGTACACACACACCGTACACATACACCGTACACATACACACCGTACACACATACACCGTACACACACACCGTACACATACACCGTACACACACACCGCACACATACACCGTACACACACACCGTACACATACACCGTACACATACACCGTACACACATACACCGTACACACACACCGTACACACACACCGTACACATACACCGTACACACACACCGTACACACACACCGCACACATACACCATACACACACACCGTACACACACACCGTACACATACACCGTACACATACACCGTACACACACACCGTACACACACACCGCACACATACACCGTACACACACACCGTACACACACACCGTACACATACACCGTACACATACACCGTACACATACACCGCACACACACACCGTACACACACACCGTACACACACACCGTACACATACACCGTACACACACACCGTACACACACACCGCACACATACACCGTACACATACACCGTACACACACACCGCACACATACACCGTACACATACACCGCACACACACACCGCACACACACACCGCACACACACACCGCACACACACACCGCACACACACACCGTACACACACACCGTACACACACACCGTACACACACACCGTACACACACACCGCACACACACACCGCACACATACACCGTACACATACACCGTACACACACACCGTACACACACACCGTACACACACACCGTACACACACACCGTACACACACACCGTACACACACACCGTACACACACACCGTACACACACACCGCACACATACACCGTACACACACACCGTACACACACACCGTACACACACACCGTACACATACACCGCACACACGCACCGTACACACACACCGTACACACACACCGTACACACACACCGCACACATACACCGTACACACACACCGTACACATACACCGTACACACGCACCGTACACACGCACCGTACACACGCACCGCACACACGCACCGTACACACACACCGCACACACACACCGTACACACGCACCGTACACACACCGTACACACGCACCGTACACACGCACCGCACACACGCACCGTACACACACACCGTACACACACACCGTACACACACACACCGTACACACACACACCGTACACACACACACCGTACACATACACCGTACACATACACCGTACACACACACCGTACACACACACACCGTACACACATACACCGTACACATACACCGTACACATACACCGTACACACACACCTTACACACACGCCGCACACACACACCGTACACATACACCGTACACACACACACCGTACACACACACACCGTACACATACACCGTACACACACACCGTACACATACACCGTACACACACACCGTACACATACACCGTACACATACACCGTACACACACACCGTACACACACACCGTACACATACACCGTACACACACACCGTACACACACACCGTACACACACACCGTACACACACACCGCACACATACACCGTACACACACACCGTACACACACACCGTACACACACACCGTACACACACACCGTACACACACCGCACACACACACCGCACACACACACCGTACACACACACCGTACACACACACCGTACACACACACCGTACACACACACCGTACACACACACCGTACACACACACCGTACACACACACCGTACACATACACCGTACACATACACCGTACACACACACCGTACACATACACCGTACACACACACCGTACACACACACCGTACACACACACCGTACACACACACCGTACACACACACCGTACACACACACCGTACACACACACCGTACACACACACCGTACACACACACCGTACACACACACCGTACACACACACCGTACACACACACCGCACACACACACCGTACACACACACCGTACACACACACCGTACACACACACCGTACACACGCACCGTACACACGCACCGTACACACGCACCGTACACACGCACCGTACACATGCACCGCACACACGCACCGTACACACACACCATACACACACACGCCGCACACATACACCGTACACACACACCGTACACATACACCGCACACATACACCGTACACACACACACCGTACACACATACACCGTACACATACACCGTACACATACACCGTACACACACACACCGTACCCACACACCGTACACACACACACCGTACACACGCACCGTACACACGCACCGCACACACACACCTTACACACACGCCGCACACATACACCGTACACATACACCGTACACACACCATACACACACACGCCGCACACATACACCGTACACACACACCGTACACATACACCGTACACACACACCGTACACACACACCGTACACGCACACGCCGCACACATACACCGTACACATACACCGTACACATACACCGTACACACACACGCCGCACACATACACCGTACACACACACGCCGCACACATACACCGTACACATACACCGCACACATACACCGTACACACACACGCCGCACACACACACCGTACACACACACACCGTACACACACACGCCGTACACACACACGCCGTACACACACACACGCCGCACACACACACGCCGCACACACACACACCGCACACATACACCGTACACACACACGCCGCACACATAAACCGTACACACACACACCGCACACACACACCGTACACACACACCGTACACACACACACCGTACACACACACACCGTACACACACACGCCGCACACACACACCGTACACACACCGTACACACACACTGCATGCACACACACACCGCACACACACACACTGCACACACACTGCACACACACATTGCACGCACACACACCGCACACACACGCGCGCATACACCGCTCACACAGCACACACACTGCACGCACAGAGCACACCCACTGCACACACTGCACATTCACACTGCACACACACACGCGCACAGGCACACC